AAGCACCCTTCCGACTCTCGACTTCAACCCAAAGCTCAAAACATTATCAACACTACTCCATGAGAACAATTTAGACATCTCTAATGTATTAAATGTTACGCCTCCCCTCACTCCCCAATGGAAAAATTTCAATGAAGCTAACACCGAACTCTCTAAATTAAAAAAAAAAGACACAGCCCCGTCTATATACAAACAAGAATATTTGCACCTTATCCAAAACATCCATAGCGAAAAAAATGTACACGGATGCATCCAAAAACCAAGTCGGGGTCGGAGATGCAGTAATCTGGAACAACACTGAATTCTTATACAAACTTCCAAGCTCCTGTTCAATTTTTACAGCAGAGTCATTCGCCATAATTAAAGCTCTTGATTTAATAACCGAACACCACCTCCAAGACACCATTATCTTCACCGACTCTCTCAGTGCCATCAATAACATCAAAAATACATATAACCCTTCTGACATAGGCCTACAGATCCAAAACAAAATATACACGCTTCGAAATACCTATAATTACAAAATAAAACTCTTCTGGATCCCCGGACACTCCAACATCATAGAAAATGAGCACGCTAATCTCGCAGCCAAAACCGCTATCACATCTACACTATCATCATGCAGACAAATCATCTCCTCCAGAGACATACAAAAACTCATAACAAATAAATGCCAACTAAAATAGCAACAGAAATGGTCATCCTACTCCACTAAATTAAATCAAATCAAACACAATATAGACAACTGGACATTTCCCCTCGAAATACACAGAAAATTCGAAGTCATCCTGACTAGACTCAGGATCGGACACACCCATATATCCCACAGTTTCCTGATGGCCAAAGAAGAGCCTCCAATATGCACAGCCTGCGGTGTTCAAGTCACTATAAAACACATACTCACAGAATGCCGAATATACCACAACACTCGAAAAAATATCAAATTACCAGAATCACTAGCGGAAATACTCAACAACCACCCTCAATCCATTGCCAACATCATCCAATTCATCACAATCTCCAATCTGTACACCAAAATATAATAAAATATAATGTAAGATATAAAAAAAAATATATGTAATGTAATAAATATATGTAAACCCAATGGCCCATGCTGCCGAGGGTCCTTTTTTTCAATAAAAAAAAAAAAAAAAAAAATTAATAATAGAATAATAATGATAGTATTTAATATTAAATTCGCAATTTCGTATTGATATTTAAGAATTGATAAAATGCATAACTCGTACTATTTTATGGTAAAACGCTTACTAATGATAAAACCTACATAAACTTTAACGTATATTAACTATTAAGACATTTGGTTTTAAATTTGTTACACTAATTTATTGTTAAAATAAAATAATTAATTGATACAATAAAGTACATACCTTAAGGCTTAAGAAATCGCTGCTTTATAACAAATGCAAATGAACGACCAGTCAATTTCGTTACGGCGTGGTGTATAACAAAATAATAAACCTAGTACGAGTATCTTATAATTTAGATATAATATTTGAGACGTCATCGCTTATCGCAGAAATTTCCCCACATTGTACATTACTACTATAATAATAATTATTATAATGGATACGGGTTTTAATGCTTCTTTCCTTCACGATTTACTATTAATATAATAACATAATATTACGTTAATACGTTCAATTCCGCGGCCTATTCGCTGTGCCATTATCGCAACGAATTTCCGCCCGGTCGACTATTGTAATATATATATATATATATTGTTATTTGTCATATATTTCTGTTACACCCTGCATACCATTTTAGAACCTAAAAATATATTTTCTTATACTTTATAATTAATAATATTATTTCATATATTATATTATTGCATGTTTTTATAATTTATATTTAAAATTAATATCTCAACGTAGTTTTTGGGTCACACCAAAAAAAAATTTGCCGCCCTTCAAAATTTGCCGCCCTAGGCTTTAGCCTACACAGCCTAAGCGGTAATACGGTCCTGCTTACTATACAAATTAAAACTTTTCATGCCAGCTCTCTACTATCTTATTATCAAATCTTACCTATAAAATAGAAATTATATAATTGGATTTGGTAATTTTCGATTTAGTCAGTTGGTACTGCTTTTTCAAATTTTGGACCTTATCATTTCTTAGGTCCATATGATTTTTCGGACGAGTGCCAATCACTCTTTTCAAACGATCTTTATTGCACTGTGGGGTGTCGGCGTGTGTGGTTGGTGTGAACCACTCACCACAAATGACTTCAAAAGGGTAATTTAAATAAAAGTACACGAAGGCGGTGTTATTTATAAAAATGTTAAATACGTATAATAAACAAGAAACTCGACGGAGTAATATAATAATAAACAATTTGTTTGAAGGAACTTAATATATAAAATAGATATACAAAAACGGAACAAAATGGCGTAGTAGACGGCGGTGCATAAAAAATAACGAACATCAGACTCGATTGACGGATCGGTGGCGAAAGCGAGCAAAGCTCGACGGAGCTTTCGTCGTTACCGTCGAAGCTCGCACAACAGATTTAAAAATCTTTACGATGACAGGGAATATGTAAAAAATAATTTGACAATAATGTAATACACACCACGGGGTGATAGTTGATAACGTGTGATAGTGAGGTTACACGCCGTATTACCACAGCACAATAGATAAAATAAATTAATTATGTAATCTGAAACTAAGTTAAATTGATAATAATAGGAAAAATTAAATTTGATCCAGTTTGAACTGTCGAACGAAAAAGTTATTTTAGTTCATTATTTTTTCATATTAATAAACTAAAACATCAAAATGACTTCAACTGTTTCACGTCAACAAATAGTAAAAGTATTTGAAGTCGTCAGTGAGATTTTTCAGGAAGAAAATATAAAAATCTGTGTTAAAGAATCACTCAAAGGTGGCCTTATTACAGGAATCTCCACTCTCGTTGGTGGTTTAGTTGGTGGAAGAACTGGTCTCTTAGCTGGTACAGTATAAAATGGCATTGCTTAATAATACTTATATTAGCTTTTACTATTCTAAAAAATTATTTTAAATCTGATAATTGATGGATTACAGTTTTAAATTATCAACCATTGATAATAGAAATAAATTATTTTTACAAGAAAAAAGTATTATATTTGCCAAAGGTATAATTAAAGAAATTGATTCTAAAAATAAACTTTATATTATGACTATTGCAATTAAAGCGAAACCTTATTGATGATTTATTTAAAATTCAATAATATTCTGAATGTAATCTAGAACTGATTTTGATCAACTCTCCAGTTGTATACTTATGTTTGAAATATTAGATAAAATATTGGTTTATTTCATACATTCTCTTAGTAAAATTTAATTTATTTGATTGTTGGTGTATTGAATAAAAAAAAAAAACTTAGTATATTATTTGACTTTCCAAGTACAAGTTAGTTATTTATAAAGTAATATTGATTCTTAAATGTTTATAACCTTTGATATTAACTTTGACCTTATGTGTCTACATGTCATATACATCATATAAATTTAACTAATTTAATATTTACTTAAATTCATTTAAATTTTTGTTTTTATATTTGTTGCTAAATATTGTTTAAGATATATATATGGTAAAAAAATAAAATTAGACGTGAAAATAGTAACCAGCCTATACATAAGATTATAACCATGTGTTACATTATATTATAAAACAAAAAATACTTAATTTATAAACTGACAGTTGAGTAATCTTGTATATAAAATTTTGATTAAATTGACATAAATTTGTCATAGAAAAATTATTTGGTTTTCTATGTTTCACGTAGACGCTTTGCTTACATATCTATACTATTGATTTTAGGTAGTGTATTGGGTACAATAGCTACATTACAGATGACTTCAAATTATAAGTCCCTTATACAAGTTATTAATGAGCTGAATTATGATGTTCAAAAAAAAATGTTTGACGCATTGCAGAACATTGCAACAAATATAGATATTACTGATGTTATCAAATTTGGTATGTTACTAACTACTAATCAATCGATGAAACAGGCAATCATTTTTGAAATTATAAATTTTGTTCGTAATGAATTAAGTATGGAAATAGTTCGAAGTTAATTTTTTCTTTATATTAAATTATATTTTTATACTAATGTGATATGGATTAACTGTAAAAAAATAAAGTAATATTGTACTCAATTTTTTCTAAGTAAATTATACCCAGAATATTTATAAATATATGTTAACATAAGAAACCTTTTATAATTTAGAAAAAATTAATTTAATAAATGTAATTCATAAACATTTAAAAATATTCTTTTGTTTTGCTTTATTAATTATTCCGACATTGGTTCCTCAATGTCTTCCCTTCTTGTTAAAATATCAAGATCTTCATCATCAAATGTCTCATACGACATATCTTCACTCAATGAACCATTATCTTTCAAACTATCTGTAAGATCATTTAATGCAGACATAAGTACATGCATTTGTTTACGTCTTTTATCAAGCTTTTGATTTATTTCATTTTTTGTCATCTATAATAACATAAGTAAAATATGGATAAGGTATTAACTATTAATATAATTATAATAAAAGTTTACTTTTAATGCTTGGAGCTCATCTTTTAAATCATCAAGGCGTTTAGCAGTATCAGTTCTGGGTGGATGTTGAATAATGAGCTTGGCAAGTACATCATATTCCATTCGGTTTCGCCTAACAGTTTTAGCTTTTTTTAATTCATTTTTGGCTCGATCAATATCAGTTTTTGTATTTTTTATATTATGATCTATTTCACTAGACATATTATCGTACATTAGCATTTCTTCCATATTCATGCGTGAAATAGCTTGAGATTTCTTCATTGCATGTTCACATAAATTAAGATGTACTAACATTTTTT